CCAGGAGGCCGCGGGCCGCGACGTGCTGGCCGCCGACCTGCGCTGCAGCCTCTTCGCCGCCGCGCTGCGCAGCTACAAGCGCGATTCCGCGCTGCGGCCCTTCCCCGCCGCCTACGCCCGCGGCGACTGCAAGGACTTCGAGGCCCTGGTGAGTGTGCCCCGCCGGGCCAGGTGGCCCGGGGAACCATCAGTGTGGGCAAACATGCCCAGCCCCGGACCGTGCGTTCCCGCTGGGCCTTGGGAAGGTCTCCACCAGCTAAGAATTTAACTCCTAACACCCTCGTGTCGACACACTCCTGTCACCTGTGGCTGCTTCCTCTTGTGAATGGCAAGTGACTCTTAGGAGTGAAGTGAGGCATTTAATAGTTGCATCGCCCTCCACAAAAAATCTCTCCCCGGATGTGGTGGCACATGCCTGTAATCCCAACACAGGGGAGGCTGAGGCAGGAGAATCACTCTGAGTTCGCAGGCAGGCTGGGCTACATAGTGCGTTTAGAGCAAACCTCGACTGAACTGCATAGCAAGACCCTGTCTCAAAACAAAGCAAAATTGCTAGCGTGACCGGAGATGGGGTGTTGATCTGAACCAGCTATTTGCTTAGCCAGGAAGTTATCCAGGCCTTCACAAATAATGACACACCAAAAGTCACTAAAGCTGTCCAGACTTTGACCTTAAGATGAGGTAGCATGTGGTCATTAATCTTAAAAGTTATAACACACAGCACGCATGTGACCTGCTACTTCTCTGCTGATTCACAAGAATTTTAATGTTTTGCAGAGCTCATGTTAGGGTCAGCATTCCAGGTCTCAGTTACCTTTGTCATCTAAATCTTTGGGATTACCTAGAAGAAATATAATTTTCCATAATTGATCAAATTAAAAATAGAAAGCCAGGCCTGGTGGCCAGGTCTGTAGTCCCAGTACTGGGGAAGCTGAGGCAGGAGGATCACTGTGAGTTCAAGGCCAGCCTGGGTGACATAACAAGACCTTGTCTCAAAAAACAAAACAAAACATCAAAATAGTCTAGATCATGAAAGACTTTGAATTAGTAGTCAAAGATTTCCCCCTCAAAAAAAAAAACCTGGGCCTAGCTTCTGTGTTGAGTTAGCCAATCACAGAAGACATAAGTGATTTCAGATTTGTACAAATTCTTCCAAAGTATTGAAAAGGAGGCTGGCATGACCTTGTCACTAAATCTGAGAAGGTTGATATAAGAAAAGAAAATTAGGGACAGGGATGTAGATCAGCAGCATAGCACCTGCCTGGCAATTGCAAGGCACTGAGTTCAATTCTTAGTACAAAAAAAAAAAAAAAAATTAGAGTCTGGTGTCATTCAAGAGTGTAAGTGCAAAAATCCTTTGCAGAATATTACAGTAGAGTTTAAAATCAATGAGTGAAAAAGGGTAATTCCATAGCCAGGTGTGGTGGTGCATACCTGTAGTCTCAGCACTTTGGGAGGCTGAGGCAGGAAGATTGCAAATTCAAGTCTCACCTGGGCAATTTAGTGAGCTTCTGTCTCTGAGAAGAGCTGGGGATGTAGGTCAAAACAAAGGCTCTAGGCTCAGTCCACAGAACTGGAAACAAAAAGAAGGGTGGGGAATCATTCCTTTGACCAAGTTGAATTTACCCCAGAAATGCAAAATTGGTTCAACGTTAGGAAGTCTCTTTATGTCACGAACCCCATCCACAGATTAAAGGAGATGTTCAGGATCAGCAGATGTTCTGCAGCGTCTCTGATGTCACCAATATCTGGTTCTCTCTTTGCTGTCATTCCTAGGAAGTTGAGGGACAAACAAAGACTGAGCCTCCTGACCCCAGCAGGCCCAGACTAGCCCTGAACCGACGACGCCTCAGGCCCAGGCCCCTAGGCCTCCCAGAATCCCGGAAGTTCGACTTTAGGAAGTTAAGCTGACCAACTTCCTGTCCGGGTTCCCACGAGCTCTGATACTTGGTGTAGGGAGTTGGTGACATCAGAAGCTGGGCACAAAACTGCCTTTAGTTTTTTTTTGTTTGTTTGTTTTCCGGTACCGGATATCAAACTCACGACCTTGCTCTTGCCAGGCAGGCACTGTGCCGTTGAGCTAAATCCCCAGTCCCTGCCTTTAGTTTTGACAACAGATATTTCTGGAGCTCCTGCAACAGCCTAGCTGCTGAGGATAGAGTTAAACACCAGGGAGGGGCTCAGAGAGGGCGGGGCTCAGTGGGAGTGGCTTATGAGTAGCTGTCTCTGCCAGCCTCTTGCCTTGATGTTTAGATTTTTACCCTGGGGCAGGGGAAGGCTTTGGTGACATCCAGGAAATGCATTTCTGAAAGAACCCCTGGGGTGACTGAGTAAGAGGGGGGACCTGTTGAGGAGTAGACAGAGAATGAAAGATTGGGGACAGAGAGATCAAGCTAACTGGAGATGGTGCCCCATGAGGCAGTTGATTTTTCCCTCCAAGTAGACTAGAATGCTCAACATAAACACATCCTGCCTGAGGTCTTTGGGATAGAGCAAAATGGGTTTATTTGATGAATATGACATACACAGGGAGCTGTGCAATTCTTTTGATTTGCTCATGTTCTTTTAACATTTATTTTTAACTACACAAGTCATGTTGAGTAGTATTGTTATAAAAAAAAAAAAAGCCAAGGTAGCAGTAAAGTAAAAGTGCCCCTGCTATGATAGTTGGGCATGTAATCCCAGCTACTCAGGAGGCTGAGGCAGGAAGATCACCAGTTTGAGGCCAGCTTGAGTGATTTAGCAAGAGACCCTGTCTCAAAATAAGTTAAAAGGCCTTGGAATATGATTCAGTGGTAGCCCTTGGTAGAGCTCACCCCACCCCACATCTCTCTCAGAGGAACCAGATGCTGTCAGTTTGGGGTATGTTGTTCCCTCATACCCATAATCTCCTAGGAGACCATGAGAACTCAAGTAGTACCAAATAGCCCTTCTTTTTCGGGCCAGGTCGCCCTGCACCTGGTGATACAGGGGAAAGAAACTCCCAACCTGAGAGATCATCTGGCATGAGTTCATGTTCTCTGAAATCAAAGAATGGATTTTAGAAACAGCGGAGGTTAAGAGCAGAATATATTTATTGAGGGAAAGAAAGCTTCTGTCTAAGAGAGAGAGAGAGAGAGAGAGAGAGACTGAGAGAGAGAGACCTGAGTGGATTGCCCAGGAACGTGTCTTTTCTAGGGATATTTATAGAGCAGATCCACCAGGTGAGATGGGTCCAAGGGGAGGGTGCGAAATCACAAGGTGGGCATGAGCTGGGACAAAACTATGGTAAGTCAGTAAGAATTATTCAGGTAAAACAGGATCAAACGGGGAAGCAAGTTGCGTAACAAGCAGGCGTGAATACAGAACAGGGCCTTTTCCTGTAAGGGGCTGGGTCAGTGACTCTTCAAGGTGATCGCTACCTATTTAGAATGTCGATCCATGAGGTCCACCCCCAGGGAGTTATATGGGTGCATTTGTTTCATCTTTTGTCCTGAGCTCTGGCCCATCTCTCCCTTTGAAAGGTATCTTGTCTTCCGTACTGGCTCCTTCGAGGGCCTGGCCCTGTCTGACTGCCTATAATGTTTCTGTCTACCTCAGCTGCCTAGACACTGGGGCTCATGTTGCCAGTCCCAGAGAGTCACTGGAGAAACACAGGCAGATTCCAACCATCTAGTCTGTTGTCACATTCCTTGTTGGAAACTCCGGAGGACGGTCCAGGCTGCAGATCCTTAGCTGTCTGGCCACAGCTGTAATTAGCGGTTTCCCAGGGAAGACTGCTCCCGGGGTGGTGGTTGGCATCACCTCTAGGGAGTGGGTGTTTTCGCTTTCATGTGTTCTGTTCCATTTGCAGTACTGGGGATTGAACTCAGGGCCTTGTGCATGCTGGGGAAGTGAGGTATTGAAGTATATCCCCAGTCAGTCTGTCTGTCCATTCTTTCTTTTTTCCTTCCTTCCTTCCCTCCTTCCTTCCTTCTTTTCTTTCATCCTGGGGATTGAACCCAGAGCCACATACCCAGCCCATTTTTATTTTTTACTTTAAGACAGGATCTCTGTCAGGTGGCTAAATTGCCCAGGCTGGATTAAAATTTGAGCTCTTCCTGCCTCAGCCTCCCAGAGTGCTGGGATTACAGACGTGCACACCCAGCGTGAACATTTAAAGAGGGTTTGGTTCCTTCTGTATCATTTTGTGGTTACCTAAAGAAGCAAACAAATATAAAAGTCTTTCGTTTGTTTAGACAAAAGCCCTTGGAAGTTATGTGAGAGGGTTTTATTACTTTTAGCCATTTAAATTTCTTTTTTTCCACACTACGACAGGCTGTCACACACGTGTCATGTCGTGATTTCCAGACATGTGAGCTCTGGCCTGAATTACTTTATTGATCCTTGCTTTCCTGGGACTATTCCCTGTTCATCCACCTCCTCAACTCTGGGGTCAGGTCTCATCTTGTCACTGTCCCCAGAGTCCTAGCTCAGCCCTGAGGACCTTGTTTCAGCAGTTTTTCTGCTCTGAATCCTTTTATTTTATTTTATATTTTTTTGAATGTCATTTTTATTTTTATTATTTATTTATTTACTTTTCTTTTTGAGGCAGGGTTTTTTTTTTTTTTTTTTTTTTTTTTTTTTTTTTTTTTTTTTGGGGGAGGTTTTTTTTTTTTTTTTTTTTTTTTTTGTCTTTTTGAGACAGGGTCTCGCTCTGCAGTTCAGGCTGGCCTTGAGCTCACTTTGTAGCCCAGGCTGGTCTCGAACTCGAAATGACCCTCCTGCCTCAGCCTCCCGAGTGCTGGGATTACAGGTGTGCACCACCACACCCGGCCTCTGTTTGATTTTACACCAGGAGCTCTTTGCATCCCCAACTGTCTGGGCTGGGATGTTTGAGGAACTGGGTGGGGCAGGGCTTCTGACCTTGTTCCTTGGCCCAAGGGTTGGATAAGGCCTGTCCCTGCCCTGAGCTTTTCTCCAGGTAACTCTTTATTTATTTATTTTTTATTTTAAAAATAAAAGGAGGAAAACATTAACAGACAACCTTTTACAAAATAGCAAAAGAACAGTACAGACAATACAGAGTTACAAACAAAGTGGTAGGGAATTAATGCTTGTTGTATTACATATTGATATCTTCAAAGTGGTTTCCCATGAAAACAGATAGGAACATGCAATATTGATCAATCAAGGACTCATTAACAGTTTCTTTCAGCAAGGAAATAGAAGACAGTAGATCAACTATGTTAACTATCCTGTATACACATACATACAAAATTTCTCCTTCTTTCCCTTCCCTTTTCCCACATCGCAGTTTGTCTCCAGGTAACTCTTCTGATCTTCCCCACCACCCAGTGTTAATCTATATTGTTCTCTTACCATGAGCCAATCAGTAGGTGTGGGTATGGCAGACACTTCTTGCTCAGGCGTGTGAGGCCTTTTAAAAACTCTTCGGCGGTCCAAGTGTGAAGAGCAGTTACCATTTCTGACCCTAAACTGGGTCCTTTTTCCCTCCCCAAACTGTGGAAACAATAAGACTGAGCATGGATAGGGTAGTGGTGTGTGCCTGTAATCCCAGCAGTCTGGGAGGCTGAGGCAGGAAGATCAAAAGGACAGCTGAATAAGACCCTATTAAAAATTTAAAAAAGAGAAAAAGTGCCGGGTGTGGCGGCACACACCTGCAATCCCAGCACTCGGGAGGCTGAGGCAGGAGGATCGTTGTGAGTTTGAGACCAGCCTGGGCTACAAAGTGAGCTCAGGGCCAGCCTGAACTGCAGAGCGAGACCCTGTCTCAAAAAGACAAAAAAATTAAAAATAAATAAATAAATAAAAGAAGAGAAAAAGGCTGGAGATGTAGCTTAGTGCAAAGGCTCTGGGTTCAATTCCCAGTACCACCACCAGAAAAGGGAGAGAGAGACATGCCTGCTCCTGCCGGGGTGGGCAGCTGCAGCCTCTGCCTCAGTCCTGCATAGGGTTTGGTGGCATCAAGGTGGCCCCAGGTTCAGAGACATCTGGGCACCCGTCTTAGGGCCTAAGAGCTGCCAGTTGAGCGACCCAGCCCATTTCTTATCTTGCTATGCTCAGCCTTAAAGGGCGCCAGCAGAGGTACATTTAGGGCTAACGCATCTCATATTACCAGTTTTCAGCCAGACACTCCCTAAGCAATCAACCTGCCAATATGCAGAGCTGAGCGGTGATCCCACCCAAGGGTTTAAGGTAGAAAGAAGATGGATATGAGATGAACACCAGGGACAGATACCAGGCTTTACCATCTGGCGGCATCCGCAGGCCCAAGTGAAGAGTCACCGCTACAGGTGAAAGCAGCTTTGAAGTCTCTGACTGCCTCAGAAGGAAACACACAGCAGTGTTGTAATGAGTGACCATTTAGGGGCCAGGAGTGTGTTTGTCCTCTGTCCCTGTGTGGTGTGCCCAACAGTTTCCTCATCGAATTTATACTGGGAGATGCTGTACGTGTGATTCTCCTGCCTCAGCCTCCCAGACTGCTGGGATTAGAGGTGTATGCCACCATGCGCAGCTGATGTACCTAGTTTTTGAGGTTACAATTATTTGGGAAGGTGGCAGGGGTGGGAAGAATATGTGCTGTGGTTTTAATGGGTTACAGGCCCTGAGTTAAGGCCTACGAGCGCATGTATCCTCTGTCTCCATGTAGCTTGTGCCTCAGACCCCTTCCTCACCCTCAGAGATGCCTGCCGTCTGAACACATTCCCTCCCACCCTGCTGTGGGTAACACCTTCCACCGTCGTGAGCTGTGGTTCAGAAGTTGCCCACCCAGACAGTTTCTATCCCCTGCCCCGCACAAGATACAGTTCTTCCTTCCTATGACGGATAGGCCCTGGGTGCTGCCAGTCACTTGCAGGGTTGTGTTACCTGGGGAGCAGCATGGGAACTCCAGCCAGGCCTGGCCGGTCTCCTGGGCAGCCTCTTCGAGTTTGGCCTGAGTGCTGCTATGGACCGAATACTCAGCCCATCCCTGAGTATTTTTTTTTTTTGGTACCAGAAATCAAACTCAGGACCTTGCCCTTGCCAGGCAGGCACTTTGCCACTGAGCTATATCCCCAGCCCCTGAGTATTTTCCTGCATTTGGATGGTGGGTGGGAGTGTGCGTTCTGGGGTCCGGTCGCCTGGCTTTCTCTATCCCTGCCCTGCCTCTGAAGAGCTGGGTGACCCCAGGCGAGGTGCCTAGCACTCCAGGCCTCAGCTTTCTCACCTTCAGGATAGGTCCCTGCCGGACGACACATGCAGTGTGGAGCCCTGTGCCTGGCACATGTCAAGACTCCACAGTGGCGGTGACCATCCCCTTCTGAACTTGGTGCCTGGCTCCAGGCTGGCTGCCAGGGCTCCAGGAAAAGTGAAGTGAAGTCGATCCTCAGGGGATGTTTGTCCCAACCAGGTGTAAGGTGCCGCAGAGAGTCTAGTACCAACAAGGGACCCTGTCATCATTGCTGAGCACAGGGATCATGGATGGCCAGGGAAGGCTCAGGGCAAAGACTTCGGGCTGGCCTTGAAGACCGCACATCATGCTGGGAAGGTGCAAAAGTACAGAGGGGGAAAGACATAGGTTGGAGTGGGGTGGGTGAGGGTTTGAGGCAGGAGGCCCTGTTAGGTACAGCAGTCAGAGCAGAGCCTTAGTAACAGGCCCTTAGTAAGCTATAGTGGTTAGTGTTTTATTCTGTTTTTTCTTTTGATGGTACTGGGACTTGACCCCAGGGCCTTTGCATTGAGCTACATCCCTAGCCCTTTATTTACTTCCTTTTTCATTTTGAGACAGAGTTTTGGTAAGTCACTCAGTTGCCAAGGATGGATTTGAACTTGTGATCCTCTTGCCTCAGCCTCCTGGAGTGCTGGGATTACAGCCATGTGCCGCTGCACCCAGGTTGCTAGACTTAACAAATAAAAATATAGGCTACTTTGTTAAATTTGAGGGCTCAGTGGTACAGTGCTTGCCTGGCAAGTGCAAGGTCGTGAGTTCAATTCCTGATAGAAAAAAAAAAATTTAAATTTGAATTTCAGATGATCAACAGGTAATTTTCTTAATATAAGAACACCCCAAATATTGCATGGGTTATATATATACTAAAGAACAATTATCTGGAGTCACAGTTAAGCAGGCAGACTGTTATGTCTGACACCCCCACTTGTGAACTTGGCTTCTAGAAGGTCCTACTTAAATAGGCAGGGAAGAGTCCTGCTAACTTGTGCAGAGTGACGTAAAAAGTGAAATGGGGCCTGACGGTCAGTCCAGGAGTTGAAGGGTGTGGGCAGAGGGGGACCAGGAGGGCAGCATCCAGCTAGGAGCCCCAGGGAACACAGGACCGTGCCTCGAGAGGCGGCAGTGGAGGGCTGGCCCTGTAGGGGAGCTCAGCCGAGGCCTGGGCCCACCTGGGCTTGGGAGGGGCCTTCCGCTTGACCACACTGGGTCTCCATAGGGCCTCGCTGGCTGGCTGTCCTCTGGGGAGTCCCTGTACCCGGGCCTGGACTGTGGCTGACGGCTGTAGATCGCACGGAGGATTTGAGAGCAGGAGTAGCGGGCGCAGCCATGGTGGTAGAGTGGGTTCAGCTCTTGCTCTGAGAGAGCAAATGTGGATCCAGGATAGAAGAGGCCGCGTGTGGTGGTGCACCCTGTAATCTCAGCACTCGGAGAGGCTGAGGCAGGAAGATGGCAAGTCTGGGCCCAGCCCAGGCAACTTAGTGACTTATTCAGATCTTGTCTCAAAGTTAAAAAATTTAACAGGGCGGGGGATGCAGCTCAGTGCAAAGGCTCTGGGTTCAATCCTCAGCGTGTAAACAAAAGAAGAAAGGAAGAAAAGAAAAGAAAGGAGAAAAGAAGGGTGGGGAGGTTGCTGTGAGCCCTGTCTGACTTGTTAGCATCAGCAGGATGCTGTGAAGTGGGTGGCTTTCACCTCAACCCACTGTGTGTTTGAGGAAACTGAGACACGGGTCTGGCAGCCTCTGCGAGGTCCCCAGTCCCGTAGGGACACAAGAGCGAAGGTCTGGCCCGGGACTTCCACCATCCACCCCCTGGCTACCTGCTGTGTTTTCACATTTCCCGGGGCCCCTGCCTGGCAGACCCAGGGCTCGGGGCACCTCATCCGTGAAGCCGCTCTGACCCAACGCCTGTCCCCCACCTCCTGCCCAACAGAAGCCTCCCCTTGGCCCCTCAGTGATTTGTATCATCTCAGTTATGGCGTAGATACTTTTAAGTTACAGCTATTTAGGCACCGCCCCCCAGTTGACTGGGAGACTTTTAAAAGTCTCTCTAATGCCTCCCCTGCTGCCCAGCACAGGGCCTGGCACAGAGTAGATGCCCAGTTAGGAGTCTCTGGGTAACCCAAGGACCAGGGCTGGGAGCATGTGGTCTGCCCAGCCTGGGGGTAAGGGAAGCAGGTGGAGAGATAACCAAGGCATAGAGCACACCAGCTGATTTTCACGCTGAAGGCAAAGGCTCTGCGAGCCCTTTACCCACAGTTGCATGTGCGCATGCTCAGGACCACCTGCTGCGGGCTGCAGGCGCGGTAATGCTCTGAGGCAAATGCAGCGATCCTAACAGGGTAAAGACCGAACAAACCTCCTGTCAGCTCAGGTCAGATTTTGTACCAAGTAAAGTCATCTTTGTTTTGTTTTGTTTTTCCAAAATCACAACAATAACAACAACAAGTTCAGATGTTTCAGAGGTTGGCATTATTTGGAAAGGGGATCACCATTCAGGAATCTCCCCCATAGGAAACTCCTTGATACGGCAGAAGTGAAAAGGGCCTGCCTTGCCGCTAGAGGGCCCCTGGTTATCACCTTGTCAGGATCCTTGCTGATGAAGGTTTTTCCCTCTATAGCTCGCAGATACCAGCAAGTTACCAAACTTGAAAGAGCTTCTGTCCTCTGGAGACAAAGACCAGCGGGCCTGGGACCTGGTGAGCTGGATTTTGACCTCCAGGGTCCTGACAATCCACAGCGCAGGGAAGGCAGAGGTGAGATTTTTGGCTCACGGATTCCTAGAAGCACAGGGTCCAGTGTGGGACAGCAGGAGTCCAGTGTCCCTGAGACCTCCCCGTGCACCAGAAAGACCTGGGCAGCTGGGTGACAATGCAGATTCCTGGACCTCACCCTCGGAGATCCTGATTTACTTTCTGCATCAGTTAGCTTCTGCTGAGCAACAAACCACCTCTGCCATTGAGTGGCTTTCAATGGCAGAAGGAGGAAACACTATGACTTGTAATTTTGTGGGTTGGGTGAGTGGTTGGTATGGGCTGGGTGATCTAAGGTAACCTCGTTTACCTTTTGGGGCTACAGCTAGAGTGGCTGCCTTTGTTGGGGCCTTCTTTTTTATTTATTTATTCAGGTACCGGGAATTGAACTCAGGACCTTGCCCTTGGCAGGCAAGCACTTATGCCACTGAACTATATCCCCAGCCCCTGTTGGGGCCTTTTTATCTGTGACTTTTTGCAAATTGTTATACCTTTCTTCCTCATGAAATTATTTTTTTTTTTGTTTTTTTTTATTTTTGTTTTTTCTCTGGTACCGGGAATCGAACTCACGACTTTGTGCTTGCCAGGCAGGTGCTGTGCCACTGAGCTAAATCCCCAGCCCCCTCCTTGTGAAATTATTAAAGATGGAAGCAGAAATACATGGGAAAGTGTTAGGAGCATTAGAAGGGATTGTTCTTTGGAAGATGTGGTTCATGCTTCTCAGCTTGCTGTAGGGAAAAATGGTATGAGCACAAAGCATTCTTTTTTTTTTTTGCTTTTTGAGACGGTCTCGCTATGCAGTTCAAGCTGGCCTTGAGCTCACTTTGTAGCCCAGGCTGGTCTCAAAACTCAATACTCCTCCTGCCTCAGCCTCCTGAGTGCTAGCGTGCGCCACCACGCCCAGCAACAAAGCATTCTTGAACTATGAGCTCTGAGCTCTCTTGTATGTGAATGTCTCTGTCTTCATGAAACCTGTTTTTCTAGTGAGCTGAGTCCACAGGAGTTGAACCCAAGGCCATAGGAGGCCATTTTTGCAGCACATTTTCCGAGTTTCTCAAATAAATTGCAGTTCTCTTTTGTTTTCTTTTTTTGATTAGTACATGTTACATTCCTCTTGGGAATTGGCACATAGACATATTTCGTCTTAATCATTTTTGCTTCCCCTTTGCCCCTTTTCAAGTTTGAAAAGATCCAGGAGCTGACTGGTGCCCCTCACACGCCTGTCCCTGTCCCAGACTTCCTGTTTGAGATCGAGTACTTCAACCCAGCCAATGCCAAATTTTATGAGACCAAAGGAGAACGAGACCTCATCTATGCCTTCCATGGTAGCCGCCTGGAAAACTTCCATTCCATCATCCACAATGGCCTGCACTGCCACCTCAACAAGGTGGGGACCCTACTGAAACGGGGGTGCATGGAGCAGTGGTGAGCAGACCCTGGGGGTTTTAGGGGGAGCGTGGATAGATTCCCTAAGGCCTAGCCGCTCAGTGTGACCCGCAGACTAGTGGTGATACCATTGCCGGGGAGCCTGTGACAGTGCGGAACCTTGGGTCCAACCTTGACCGTCCGACTCCTTGATTCACTTGAATTTTTTCCCATTACTGGGAAATTGAACCCAGGGCCTTCACTACCTCCCCAGGTCTTTTTATATTTTATATTGTTTTGTTTTATTTTTTATTTAATTTAATTTAATTTTATTTTCAGTAGTGGAGATTGGACCCAGGGCCTACATCCCCAGCCCTTTTTGTTTTTTATATTGACACAGGGTCTTGCTAAGTCTCTAAGATGTCCAGGTTGGGCTCAAACTTGGATTCCTCCTGCCTCAGCCTCCCAGAGTGCTGGGATTACAGGCATGTGCTACCACACCCAGCTCCCACCTGCAGTGTGACAAGACCCCCAGGTGATTCCTGTGTTGGTTACAGCCTGAGAAGTCTGGGTGGTTCCCAGCCTTGCCTGCCCCTTTAGATTACTTGGGGAGCTTTAAAAAAAAAAACAAAAAAAAACAACAAAAGAACCCAGTGCCTTGCTTCATCCCAGACAATTAAATCAGACTCCCAGGGGGGCTGGGGATTTAGCTCAGCGGCAAAAGCGCCTGCCTGGCAAGCGCAAGGTCGTGAGTTCGGTTCCTGGTACCGGAGAAAAACAAAAACAAACAAACAAAAAATAAATCAGACTCCCAGGGAATGACGCCCAGACATCAGTGAGCTTTATTTATTTATTTATCTTTTCCCTATAGTAGGAATCGAACTCACAGTGTTGTGCTTAGCCAGGCAGGCGCTGTGCCACTGAGCTAAATCCCCAGCTCCTTCAGTGAGCTTTAAAAGCCCTCTAGAGATCCCAGTGTATGATCAACCCCAGCTGCTCAGTGTGGTCCACGACCAGCAGCATCTGCATCACCTGCAGAGTCTCGGGCCCAGCGCAGATCCCAGGCAATCCACAGGTGCTCTGACTTCTGAGAACCACGTCCCTAGGGGACACTGCAGCGCGTCAGCCTGGGAGAAATTGATGTGCATGCGGAGAGACACCGAGGGGAGGGCCTCTCCTGCCCCCCCCACGCTGTTTTCCTCTCACGTGTAAAAGTCACAGCAGCCTCCCGCTTCTCTGCCAGCACTCATGTCACCCCCTCAGTAAGGTGTCAGAGGAAAACTGGGCATCGCTGTGGCCCTGGGCACACTGACTTGAGCTCTCCGAGCCTCAGTTTCCCATGTATGGTAGACAAGGAGTCTATTATTCTCCTCCTCCAGGAGAGGATTGGAACAGTTCGTGGGTACCAAGGTTAAGCCCGAGCCAAGGGCCAATGGAGCCGGGGCTGGTTTTATGGCGAGTGCAGTGGGCATCTGGGGTAGTGCCCAGCCCAGCAGCACCTGCCTTGTCCAGAGGGGCTGGCTGTGCTCCCCGACACAGGTTCAGTGGGGACAGGCATAGTCCTGAGGTTGGAGAGCCTCTTTCCAGCCCTGCTGCATCTGATTAGTGCTGGTGGGTCTGACTAAGGATGCCAGGCTTGTTTGTGCTGGCTCGCAGCTTAGAAGTAGGGCCGGCTGCTGGAGCCGGTGGACCTCTGCTTCGTCTTGAGCCTGGCCTGGAGAAGTTGGGGCAGGTTATAGTCTTGCACGCAGGCTTCATTTCAGAAGCCTGGGAAACTTGCTACTTAGAAGTATCTTCTAAGAGTCGTTCGGTAAAGCCAATCAGCCCCGGGCATTCTCCGCCTGGGCTTGGGTGCAGGGCTTGCTCGGGAAACTCGGTGCCAGTCGCAGCTGTGGGATGATTCTTATGGCAGAGAGACCCTGGGCTCCTCCCTCGTGCGCCCTCCTGCTCACCACAGCCTGGCACGGGCTGTCCGGGTCTCGGGAAAGGTGAGCTCATGGCAGGTATAGATGGAGAACTGTGAGCGTCACATCATGGGGTGCCTGGTAGCCTTGGAGAAAATCCGTGTCAGCTTGTGAGGGTTGGGGACGTTGGCAAGGGGCTCCCCAAAGACCAAACAAAAGTCTGTTTCATTTCTCCTAAACTTTGCTTATGGGATGTAGCGGTGTGGCAGCCTGGTGCCACCGAATAGGACATTTATCAGTTCTAGAGCAGAGGATGTAGTTGAATGAGCCCTTCAAGGCCGCCCATCCTCTGCAGATACAGATACTGTGGCTCCTGGAGAGCCACCGAGTCTCAGCTTGAACATTCAAGTCCACCCCCTGGTCATAGCTACTGGAAATGTTAGGAGATGGATTCTGAGCCCGTATGCATAGGTGCCAGCGTTGGTTGATATTGTGTTGGCCATTGTGGTTGCTTACGGATGTATTTCCCAAGCCTGCTGTCGCCTCAGCTTGCCTGCTGTGCTCCTCACAGAGAGTGGCATCGGCACCCGCTAGCAGGGAGCTGCCTCCTTGAGTTTTGGGCATCTTCTTAGCCAACACCAACATCAATGCAGAGTAACATTTATCCTGGCCCTCGTGTCTGCTTCCTGAGTTTGATTACAGAGTCTGAGGGACTCATTTCTTTTCCGTGGGATGACTCAGAATACCCTCTCCCGAAGGTGTCCCCTCCTCCCTGTACACAAGGGCATGGCTTGGCTTTTGTAAGCCCGTCAGTGTCACCGTGTTAACGCATTCACGCCACGGGAATGATGATATACGCTGTAACGCACGGGCCCGCGGTTTGGTTCCCACCCTCGCCTCTCATGTCCCAGTGTCCCACTCGATGCCTTCTGCACATTATTTAATCCCCACCTACAACCTTATGAAGGACACACTATTAGCACCATTTTGTAGATGGAGAAACTGAGACACAGTTTCTGTAACCTGCCAGGTTGTCGGTGGATTCTAACCAAGGGCTGTTTGGACTCTGATGTCTGTGTTTTTCTGACTCAACCTTGACCACAAGGAACTGTTACTTTGCCAGGCTGGGTGGCCAAGTCCGCAATCAGTTAAACAGTTGTCACATGGGATGTGTTTAGTAGCAAACCCTAGGATGGTGCCGTAGGTCATTGGATCCTATGTCCTGCTGGGAGAGAAGGAAGCTTGGAAGTTTTTGTGTTTACAGCTCTGTTGAAGAAAGACCCGTGCCATCTTGCTGTGCCAGTCTCCATGCACACACTCACGTGTTTCTTTTCGGTTGGCCTCTGCCAATGCAGACATCCTTGTTTGGAGAGGGGACCTACCTCACGAGTGACCTGAGCCTGGCCCTCATTTACAGTCCCCACGGCCACGGGTGGCAGCACAGCCTTCTCGGGCCCATCCTTAGCTGTGTGGCCGTGTGCGAGGTCATCGACCATCCAGACGTCAAGTGCCAAACCAAGAAGAAGGGTGAGTGAGCCCCTGCCTGCACCGTGCTGCAGGCCTCTGTCGGGTGCAGCCGGCTGGCAGGGGAGCAGCGTGGCATGGTAGGGGTGGGCTCGTCTGGGGCAGTGCCAGGCAGGACAGAGCAGGACAGGGCCTGGCTTCAAGGAGGGAAAAGCTTAGGGGTTGAAGGCATGATGGAAAAGATTGCTCGGTGCAAGGCAGTGGATGCAGAGGGCCTGGCGAGGGGGCAGCTGAGAGGAAGGAGCAGAGTGGGTCAGGGTAATCTTTGGGGCCTGTAATCCCAGCACTCGGAATGCTGAGGCAGGAAGATCACACGTTGGGGCCTGCCTGGACTACATGGCAAGACTGGTGAGAGAGAGAAAGAGAGAGAGGAGAAAAGACTTTGGGAAGGATTTTTAAATTATTATTATTACTTTAAAAATTTTTATATATTTTTTTAGTACTGGGGTTGTACCCAAGGTCTTTGGTTTTTTTGTTGTTTTTTTTTTTCTGATTTTCTTCCGGTACCGGGAATCGAACTCATGACCTTGCGCTTGCCAGGCAGGTGCTTTGCCACTGAGCTAAATCCCTAGTCCCTACCCAAGGTCTTTGTACTGAACTACATCCCTAACCCTTATTTTTTTATTTTTTAATTTTGAGACAAAGTCTCACGATGTTGCCCTAGGCTAGGTTCAAACTTGCAATCCTCCTGCCTCAGCCTCTCAGAGTGCTGGGGCTATAGGGGTGCACCACAGTGCCCAGCGGAATTTGACAAACGGAAGTATGTGCATGAGGCAAGGGCACAGGCTCCTCGAGGGTTGGAACGAGGTCTTATTTATTCCTGGGCACCTGGTGTCAGCAGAGAGTCTGGTTTATACTTGACATTCAGCAAGCATTTGGTAAACTAAAGGACACCGGATCCAGACCCTCTGAGCTGCTCTGGTGTGTGCTGGAGCCCCCCCAGGGAGGAGAGGGGCAACTGAGGCCACAGGGCGTAGATCCTGGGTGCTCCAGGCAACAGATGACTGGCGGCCACCTCATCACACTGCCCTGATGTGTCCTGTGGAGTCCGCCCCGTGCCTCCGGCTGGGTTCCCTCTTCCAAGGAGGAAGTCACAGAACTGTCAGTCAGCCCCAGAACCCTCCTCTCCCTTTTTACTAAGAAAAGGAAATTCAGAACACAGATTGTTCTGGCCTCTAATGTAAAACAACTGGAACCCCGAGCGGGACCAGGTCTGACACCACCAGCCCAAACCAGACGCCATGAATATTTATTTGCAATTGTAATTCTTAGGAAGTTTGCAAAGTGTGACATTAAACATCAAAAACCAGACCTTGCGGCCTCAGCTGGCTTCGGCTCTGGCGTGGCTCCCTGCCTTGGTAAAGCTTTTTCTTGTTGTTAAAAGAAAAGGTTTTTCTGGTTTTGAGAGAAATCTTGGTAGGAAGGGTGGAAGAGAAGTGTATGAAGACTCTCTAATCTGGCATGGTTTATTCAAAATGCCTACTAAGGGCCTTGTTTCAGATTACGTCTTCTTCCCAGTCCCAGAGGTTTTTTTTTTGGTTGGGTTTTTTTTTTTTTTTTTTTTTTTTTGTCTCTTTGAGACAGGATCTTGCTATACAGTTGAGGCTGGCCTTGAGCTCACTTTGTAGCCTAGGCTGGTCTCGAATTTGCAACGATCCTCCTGCCTCAGCCTCCCGGCCTAGTAGTTGTTATCTTCTTTGGATCTTTTATATTTTTCTGTTCCTTTTTCCCTTCTCTCATTTGTCTCTCTGCCTACCAGATTCTTCTGCTTGTTTGTTTTCAGTACCAGTGACTGAATACAGGCCTTTGCATTGAGCTATAGCCCCTCCCTTTTTCTATTTTCTTTTCTTTCTTGGGACCGGGAATCGAACTCAGGACCTTGTGCTTGCCAGGCAGGCACTTTGCCACTGAGCTATATACCTGGCCCTTTTTTTTCCTTTTGAGATAGTCTTGCTAAGTGGCCCAGGCTGGGCTCAACTTTGACCCTCCTGCATCAGCCTCCCGAGCGCTAGGATTATAGGTATGAGTCACCACACCAGGCTGGAGACTCTTTTTAGTGCCATTTCATCAGCCAACACAGGCCCATCCCTCAGCCTACTGGGGCTTCTGTATCTTTAGGCCCAGGGGACGTAACTCATTTCTATTCCTAATTTGCCTCTTTAGTTCTTTTATTTCCCTCCCAGTAAATGTGTGCCTTACTCTCCTTATTCAGATTCCAAGGAGATAGACCGCAGAAGAGCGAGAATCAAGCACAGCGAAGGAGGAGACATTCCCCCTAAGTACTTCGTGGTCACCAACAACCAGCTCCTGCGGGTGAAGTACCTGCTGGTGTATTCCCAGAAGCAGCCCAAGAGGTAAGACGTGGTCCTGGGCTGGGGATATAGCTCAGAGGTAGAGCACATGCCTAGCAAGTGTGAGGCCCCGGGTTTGATTCTCAGCCAGGCAGAAAAATAAAAAGAAAAAAGATGGTTCTTGCCCAGAGGCCAGGAGACCAACTAGATCCCGTGTTCAGGGAATTGGTTTCTTCATTTCCTTCTTGATCCCGCCACCCCAGCCTAGGTCTCCGTGCTCTGAAAGGTAGAATGCTCTGGGACCATATATTCTAATGAAGAGCATAGAAAGATTGTAAATATGCCCCTTTTTTATGACTGAAGGGATCAAATTGGCAGCCGCTTAGCACTGGGCCTTTGATTGGGGTCAGAAAACCAATGATGAGGTTGATCCGAGAGGCGGGACGGTGATGGGACACACATGTGACTGTGTGCCGAGCAGCTCAGTCCTTTTCCACCGTGGCTGCTGAGTCACTTCCTGTCCCTCTGTGGACGTGAATGCTTCATCTTTACCTCTAAAATGAGGGGGCTTAGTTGGGGTGTAGAAGAGTGCTTGCCTCAAGTACACAAGGCCAACACGGCAGACAGTAAATAAGATGGGCTTGGTTGTGCACGCCTGTAATCCCCGTATTCAGGAGTCTGAGGCAGGGGCTGTGAGTTCAAGGGCAGCCTGGGCTATGTAGCAAGTTCAAGCTGGGGCTTGAACTTCTGTCTATTATGACCCTGTCTGCATAAGACCCTTTCTCAATAAATAAATAAAATGAGAGTTCCGGATGAGGACCTTCATCTCCAGAGAACCATGGTGGCATGCCTAGGGCTGTCCCAGCGGTGTGGTACTGGGAGGATATGCAGGGTTCTCAGGGTTAGGGGTCACTTGGAGATCTTGGTGCAGTTTTGGTGCCCGTGGTAGAGCTTCCTGTGCGCACGGGCAGCAGGTGAACAGCCAACACAGGAAAAGGGGCCACTTTTAGTAATGTCACTCCTGCTTATACACAGCAGTGGTTTCCATGGTTCTGGATTTCATAAACCAGTAAAATCCACCCCTGCCTGAATTCAGAAATCTACATAGGTTCCTGAGTCTGGGAACATTATCCTTTGGTTTAGACATCATCTGGCTTTTTCCACTTGAAAATTCCATTCCTTTCCCTCTCTCCTGGAGTGTCTTTTGTGGGTGGTTTAGAACATCTTCTCGTGGGCCAAAGAGGATTTTTCCAGCTCAGGTAGATGTCTGTGCATATCTGAAAGCAGAAAGACTTTTGCTAAGTAACCCGTCAACATCTAGAGACCCTGAGCTAGGTCATTCTTCTAGATACCAAAGCCTTGTTTAAGAAAAGATAGGTTGTCAGTGATAAAAGAGGAGGCAGGTGTGGTGGTGCACACTATAACTCCAGCTACTTGGAAGGCTGAGGCAGGAGGATCACAAGTTCCAGGCCAGCCTGGGTGACTTAGTGAGATACTATCTCCACATGCAGAAAAGGGCTGGGGATATAGCTCAGTGGTAGAGCACCCCTGGATTGCATCCCTAGTATTGGTGGGGAGGGAAAAAAAAGGAAGACAGAGTGAGCTCATTGCATAGCTGTCTTTGTGGATTTAGAAAATGTTCCATTGAAAGGCACACTGGTGCCAGGGCAAAGAGCCCCAGATTTTTTGAGCAAAGAAGCACGAAGCTTCCCTGCATGGCTCACGCAGAGGATGAAAGTCATCATCTCATCCTCCCTGAGCCAGAGCTTGTTGCACACTTACAAAAAAATGTTTTGCTCTTGTTGCCAACATCACTCGTTTTTCTCTTACGCAGGGCTTCCAGCCAGCTGTCCTGGTTTTCCAGCCATTGGTTTATGGTCATGATGGCCCTGTATCTGATGCTGCTGCTTATAGTGAGTGTCCTCAACTCCTCTGCTTTCCAGCACTTTTGGAATCGCGTCAAGAGATGATCTTTCTGGGCCTGGTGTGGGGGCCACCTCAGCCGTGTGCCTTATGATAGCTCGTTCTCTACCTCCTGTGTCTCATGTTCAGCCAGGTAGAGCCTAGGGGACAGCTGGGGGACCACAGGACAATTTGCCCTATGTCATACGTGTACTGATTGCCTTCAATAATGCTCCCAGCCATACCCCATCAGTGAGGACCCCAGGTCCCCCTCTCATCCGCTCCTTCCTCAAGGGTCCCATGGAGTTGGCTCTCCAGCCAGGGCCAAAGGAAAAGTCCTGCTGCATTTAAAAACAAAGTGTCCAAGCGGTGAGCGGCGTGTTTGTGTTGCTCCTGGCAGAGGCTGGGCCTTTCTCTAAGCCTTCTGGAAGGCGGGACGCATGTGTCGGGGACCGTAAATCACTAGGCGGTTACCTTGTTTTGACTCAAGACACTCAACAGGGACAGCCATGTTTCTCCTAAAAAATCAGTGAGATTGTTTTTGGATTCCATCAGCTTTTGTACGTGAGTGCAAAACATTTTCATAGTTTTCGCAAATCAACAAGCAGCCTCCTGCTACAGCTGGATCTCCCGCTCCCAGACCTCGGACCAGAATGGAAGGAGCCAGAGGCCTGATTAAAAAAAAAAAAAAAAAATACAGACTTAACAATGAGCAACTCGAGTCATCTTTTTCTAAAAATTACCAACTGCTGATTATAGCTGAAGTGGAACCAAATGTTTGTTTTCTGATTTTTTTTTTTTTAATAGCCGTTTGACAAATTAGTCTTTGTGAGCAGAGTACAAGGGGGGAGATTTCTAAACCTAGAGCACCATCTGGCCAGGATCCACAGCCTCTTTGCTGGCTGTGCTTTAGAGAGGTTGCGGAGCCCCAGGCTTGCTCCTGTTCTTCTCACGAAGCTGCCTTGATCGTGGCCTCCCAGCCAAAGGGCCACGCCGCTGGCCTTCGGGACAGAATGTGCCGCAGAGCCGGGGACGGAGCTGCCTCCAGGGGCGTCGTGGTCCTGTGGACACAGCCCAGCGTGGTATTCTCCGGCCTCTGCCACCTGCTGGGTTTCTTTCAGCCCTGATGGATCCCTGTCCCGTCTGGGGATGGGATTTTTCGAAGGGAGAACATAATTTTTCTATAATTTGTAAAGTTGTGAAAAAGTCACTGTCACAGTTTTTACATTGACTATTGGAACATTTCAAAACCAATAAAGGTATTTTCCTAATTACCACCTCATCTTTGTGACCACTGTCAGCCTCTCTGTGTCTGCTATGTATGCGCTGTGATTAAAAATCTTATCCTGCTCGCTCTTTGTTTGTGGTGGCCGTGTGCTGGGTATCGAGTGGGTGGGATTTCTGGTCACAGAGCTCTCACGTAGGAGCACCTACTATGTCCCAGGCAGCAGGGACACAGCAGGATCCAAGCCCCTGCACTGGCAGGGTTGACTTTGCAAGGTGACCAGGTGCACAGGCATCTCAGGAGTGAGGTTGGCACGGTAACAGCATCATAAGGTCATCCTGGCAACCGCTTGGCACAGGGTCCTGATGTAGTCTGGGATGAGGAGTTGGAGCTGATGCGTGGAACGCACCTACTTGTGCTGATTTCTTTTCACAGCAATCCTTACCGACTCTTAAGAGACAAGGAACCGAGAGTGCAAGAGCTCAACCAAGGTTTCACGGCTACGAAGTGGCAGAGCTGGTAGCTGAACCCAGCGCAGACAAGTTTCAATGTCTGCCTCTTAATCAACCCCCTCGCCCCACTCCAGCCCCCCAAATAGGGTGACATTTACCTGCAGCCTAGAAGAGGAAGCCTGCCAACCATGGTGGTGCACACCTATAATTCCACCACTTGGGAGGCTGAGGCAGAAAGATCACCATGAGTTGAGGCCGGCCTGGGGTACGTAGTGAATTAAAGGCCAGTCTGAACTACGTAGTGAGACCCTCTGTTTTTAAAAAAATCTATTTTAGGCTAAGAGAGGGAGGAAAAGTGTTTTAGGCAGTGGGAACAGCACATGCAAAGACCTGGAGTTGTACAAGAAGCTAAAAGTGAAAGGGGCGTGAAGAAGGATGCAGGGTAGGAAACTGGCCTGCAGAAGTTGTCAGGAGCCACGTCCTAAAGACCTTAGTTTGTTTGTTTGTTTGTTTTTTTGGTACCAGGAATTGAACTCAGGACCTTGCACTTGCCAGGCAGGTGCTCATGCCGCTGAGCTATATCCCCAGCCCCGAGACCCTCAAATCTGTGGGCCAGGGACCACATGAAGAGGATTTATGCAAGGAAGATGAAATTTAGCTTTCTGAAAAGTCACTCTGGCTGGTGGTTGGAGGATGGATTTAGGATTATCCTGAGGATGAAAAGATCTGCTAGGATAGAGACCAGCACAGAGTAAATATTGAGGTGTCATTGTGTCGTTGTATGGTCTTTGTTGTTGTTGGTTTGTAATGGCCCAACAAAGCAGGAACCCTGCAAAGGAGGCAGAGTGGGCACATCCAGAGAAATAGGAAGAAACCGGAAGTGTGACAGAAGCCGGGAGGGTAGGTGGATGAGCAGTGTCCATGCTTTGAGAAATCAGGATTATGCCTGCAGGATCCGTTGTGTTTGTTGCTGGTGTTGAGGGCAAATTTGGCAGGAGAGGTTTTGGTAGGGGACAAAGACCTCATGGCTGTGTTGTCTTGGGCACAATGTCCGGGAGGTCTCAGTTCCTTAGGAACTGACCGTACATCTCAGATTATGAAGCCCTGCTTTGGCTTGAATCTGATCTTTTTTTTGTTAGTACTGGGACTCGAACTCAGGGACTAGTGCTCGCCAGGCAGGCGCTGTGCCGCTGAACTACATCCCCGGCCCTGAATCTGGTGCTGTTCAGGTAGTGTTTGCCTCAAATCTAGCCTTCTCTTTTTCCCATCTTCCCTACCCGCCCAATAAAAGAGAGAAAAAATGGTGATGCGATATCTGATGTGATTGTGGGGACGGGAGGGTAAATGAAGAACTGTCTTACCCAGTGGAGGTCCTCAGACGGGCGTGTGTGACGGGGGGAAGGAAATCACTACGCTGGGGCAGTTGGTGTGGGCAGGAAGGCAGATGAGGACAGAGCTCATTCTGACACCCGTAGGCCCTGGGCATTTTTGCCTTGGCAGCCCTCCTTCCTCTATAAGAAAGTATTTAAAATTATATTTTCCAACTGCATTGGTCAGTGCAGAAAACTGAAAACATTTTCTTCCACTGAAACATTCCTTTTTTTCTTCTGATTTCAAAAGAAGTCAAGACATTTTCATCAGGTGGGCCTTAGGCGCTGCGCGTGCTTTATCTAATGATGAGTCGGCCCTGGGCTTCCTGGTACCTGGGAATGGAGCGGCAAGCAGAACCTTCAAGGAGACCCAGGGCTCTGTGTTGCACCAACTCCAAGTCTAAGACAGATCCCATAGGCCCGTCCGCCCCAGGGCAGGGCAGGCTGGGGGTGCTGGGGTTTGGGAGCTCAGAGGCGGCAGCAGGCCCTCCATAGCGGGGAGGAAGCTCTCTCCACCACCACAGAGGTGCGGGGGACCAGGAGCGTCACCAGGCAGCTGGTGGCAGAGGAAACCAGATGGAAGTCCAGTTGGAGCTACCTTATGTTGGGGTCTGTATCTGGTGAAAAGTTACCCCCCCGGACCTCTGTCACTAACGCCATTGTGTGTGGGGGGGCAGCTTTGGGCGAGGTGGCGAGTGGGACTGTCCTGGGCGGGGTGCCTGCTAGCAAGGGCCCCCGAGTCCTCTAAACCAGCAGAGATGGGGTTTTCACTCTGTGGGGTTTAGACTAAGTGTACACATGTAGAAGAGAGAGACTGGAGCAGGTGACACGATTCAGTGCCATCTCTGATTACTTCCTCTCATTAAACACCACCTGCAAGCGGGAGGGGTGGGGAGCTGTGCTTTAAAGAGCCCAGTTCGGATAGTTTGCTTTTAGCACATGGCACCGTTGCGTCTGAGCCCATCCACTGCTGAGCCTGGGAGGTTTGCGGTCGTTGCCATGGTGATTCTCAGCCCCTCGGACAAAAACAGGGCCACAACCCTCCCCAACCCCCCCAGCCCTCTCCTCGCCCTCCCTCTGCCCCCCCACGCTCCACCTCCCAAATTTTCCATCTCTTCTTGTTTGTTTTGCCTTTGTCTGTCCCCCCTCCCCACGGGTTTCTGTTTGTTTCCAAACTGTCTGAGGCCGAGCACCATGGAGACGTCCTGGGCCTGGGCTGCTCTAGCCCTCATCTGGTTAGGGTAAGCCCCTCTCCTCTGCAGGCCTCTCGGACCTGACATTTTAGAACATCCACAACAAACCATGACATTCTGCAGCAAGATAGAAGCCACCATCTTCACCCACTCTGCTGGCGCCCTCGTCTTTCCTGAAAGGGTTTTTAAAAAAATGTCCAGTGTTCTCCTGCGGTGTCCCGAGACTGAAAGGGAAGCAGCATTCACTGCCGCCTTGATACCAGTCCCTGGGCTACATCTTGCTTGCTTTGAGAATGAAGTGGTGAAGTTGATGCTTCCTGCATTAAAATTCAGCTGCAAGTTTCCTGAGGGCAGGGCCTCAGTCCTCTTTTATATCTCCATATCCCAATTGTGGTGGGCACTCAGGACAAGTTTGCTGAGTGAATGAGTGGCTCAAAAGATACAAGAAATTTCCTGCCACAGCCGGGGGTAATTGAAGAATGTCACCAAAAGGGGCTTGAAGTTAGACTGGATAGGAAAATGCAGTGGCGAGACAGTGTGGGCGGCTGAGGGCTTCAGGTTGTTGATTGAGTCTTCTGTCTTCTCTTTTGCGGTTAGTGAGGTGAGCAGGAAGGACAGAGCCATATGTTTTATTTAAAGTACAAATGGGGGGCTGAGGGTATAGCTTAGTGGCACAGTGCCTGTCAGCAAGCATGAGGTCCTGAGTTCGATTCCTGGTACCAAACAAAAAGTATAAATGGTCCTGAGAGATTGATTTGATGATCATTCATACACATATGTAAATGACTAATAGCAAAGCCTTTCCTAAAAACAGGTTTTAGGAATGAGTTGGGAGGAGGATAGTGGTGAAAGAGAAGGAAATCTCTTGGAGATTCAAGGGCAAAAGGAGCTTTTGATCCTGTCAGAGGGTGGGGGCACTGGAATCAGATTTTGCTTTATCGCTACTTGGCCAAGGAAGGACCGTAGTGAAAACAGCAGTGGTGACATCCGTCAGGTCAGTCACGCTGCCCTAAAGTTGCAGTTTTATTGTTTCTGAGCAGGTTCTCTCTGTTCCAAATGGGCCCATAATAACATATCGCCTAGCGAAGGTTTGTAGGGGTTTAAAACCAGCACATCATTTCTGTTTTTGACGAACTTGAGGGTGTTTGACAACCAGTGGTCTCTTCCATCTTCGGCCGCTGGTTTCCTTTGGTTAAGGCCGCCTGTTCATTCACCCTCCTGGTATCGTACGCATACCTGCTGAGGGACGCCACCTCCCTAACCACTCTCACTGGGCACTGACATAGCGGCCTGCTGCCTCCTCCAGCCACACAGTCTATGGGTGAGCAGTGCTTGGGCTTAGGGATTGCTTCAGACATGAGCGTGTGGCCCATCCACATATGAGCATGTCAGTAAAATGGACCCTAGTTTTTGCTGGGGCTCTTGGGAAAAAGAGTTGCTTTTCCATTGGTCTTAGACATGAGAGGCTATCCTTTCCACTGCTGTGTGACGTTTCAGAGTGACCATGACACTGCAGAAGGCAGGGTATGGTGGGTTAAGTCATGGTCCACTTGTGACACCCAGCTGAACTGAATCAGTGCGGTGCTGGGTGTAAAAGGCCCACCTGAGGACTGCTGCCAACAGCATAAAAGGAGAACTGGAGGGGAAGAGGTTGCCCTGTTGATTCTTCCGGAGGAGATTGTCATACTGGTTTTCCTGATACGAACTCAGCTGTTCTCATCATGGGAGGAGCTTGGATCCTCACCGTTGCTGAGGATGGCTGCGGTTCTCTTATGGGGAGCGCTGGTCCTCACCTTGAGCGTGGCTTCCTGGCTCCAGTGCAGATCCCTCAGCCTGACAGCACAGATTCTTCATCCCGCTGTTGCAGACTTTCTAGCCTCCACTGCTGACCTTTGGACCCTCCCAGCGCAGATCCTTGGTGCAGACTTGCATGAGACATTGTCGTGGACTCTGGGCCTCCAGCTGGACTCATGCAGGACATTGCCATGGGATCCAGGCCCTCAGCTGGATTCTTTGGGTCTGGTGGGTGGACAGATCTCCTG